TATCATCTCGCGAGCAGGCTTCTCCACCCGGCCGCGCTTACGAGAGGCATATTGATCTTCGTCGAAGAAGTCCTGGCTTAGGGTTTAAGGTTTAGGGTTTAGGGTTTAGGGCATATTGATCTTCGTCGAAAAAGTCCTGCCATGCGTGTGCTCTTTGAGGCTTTTGGGGTGTCGATAAGGGCCTTTAGGGTTTAGGGTAATTAGGGTTCTATAGAGTTTAGGGTTTAGGGTTTAAGGGCTTGCCGAATTGTGCTTTGAGGCTTTTTGGGTGTTGATAAGGGCTTGTAGGATTGTGCTTTAAGGCTTTTGCGGGTGCTGATGAGCGCCTTATAATTCTATTTGCGGCGTTTAGGGTGTTGATAAGGGCCTTTCGGGTTTAGGGTTCTACTAACGGGTTGTAATGGGGTGGCCTAGTACAAGGGCCGAACAAAAACTAGAATAATTGGGAGTTTGGGGCTTAGGTGCTTCGGCGTTTTGGGGGCTTTAAAATAGGGTTTACAAGGCTTTGTAAGGTTTTTTTTTAAATGAGGTTTTATGGGCTCCTTGCAGAGGCTCACTGGGACTTATCAGGGCTCTATGAGGGATCGATGACGGGTTCACGATTTAGGGTTTAGGGTTTAGGTTTTAGGGGCTTAGGGTTCGGGGTTTATGGCTCACGGGTTTCGGGCTTGGCGGAAGTCTCGACGAATGGGGTCTTGTGGGCACTGGAGATGCCGATTCAGCGTGAGAAACACGGAAGAGCACGTCTCACTGCCCAACACCGATGAGTGAAAGAAAGCTGACATCACAACTGATCCCAGATCCAAGTTCTGAACCCTACGCCCTAAACCCATATCCACAGACTGAAGACGCTGAGAAATCGACCTGAAATCGAAACTTACAAAGTGAACTACACCCTTCACCCTAAACCCTGAACCCTAAAACCCTAAAACCCTAAACCCTAAACCCTAAAACCCTAAACCCCGAACCCTTAACAACAGTCAGCACTCTTCGTCTCGGCAAAGCAGCTAAGACGCGGGCCTGAATATAGCGGGCCTTAATGATAAGAATAGGGCTTAGGGCTCCTTTATGGTATAGTCATAATAGTCATAATGGCCTGCTTTATAGTAGAATGACAAGAGGGCTCCGGGCCCCTTTATAGCACAGTTATACCAGGGAAGCCTACGAAATAATTTTGGTACTTATTTCGGCCTCTACAGCAGGTAAATTAGGGTCTGGGGGCTCATTATGGCTACAGATATCATGAGGAACCCTAGAGGTTCGTATGGGTATATTCATGAACCTTAAGGAGGTAGGGTTCGGGGTGTGCTATAGTAGAACCCTCATGAGGAACCTGCAGGGACACGTAGTAGTAACTTACTACTACGTTTCCCTGGAGGTAGGTTTTCTTTTGCTAGGGTTTAGGATTTAGGGTTTGAGTTATTCCGAACCTCCATCGTACTTCCCGGGTCATAACTACCGTCGTAGAACCATACTGCAGCCCTGATTCGGTAATCCACCGAATCAAGTGGGGGTTTCCGAGAACAGTGGACCCTAATATAGTACCCCAAATAGTAGGATCCTTCTTGTAAGGACCCCAAAATACGGTACCCCTTATTTTCGGAAACTCCCAAGTACATGCGATGTAAGTGACCGTTCATCGACTGGGTCCTCATCAAAGGCCCTTGCAGGGCTTAGTGTTTGGGCTTCCGGGTCGAACAACCACGATTAGGGTTTAATTTAGGGTTAATTAGGGTTTAGGGTTTGGGGTTTAGGGTTTAGGGTTTGGGGTTTACGGTTTAGGGTTTGGGGTTTAGGATTTAGGGTTTAGGGAAGTAGTAGAAGCAAGTAGCTATATGCAAGAAAGCCCCAACGTCGCCTGTACTGGTGAGGTAGACATAGAAGCCAAGCCTTCATTAGGAACCGTAAGGACAACCATTTTTCCTACACAACAAGTCATCCTAAACCCTAAAGCTTAGGGCCTAAACCCTAAACTTTAAACAAGTCATGACGGTCCAGGACCACTTCCACGACGTTGACCATCTGCCCTGCGGTGAACTCCATCACCAGGGGGGAGGAAAGGCTGATGTCCTCGACAAGGTTTATAGGGTTTAGGGGTCCGGGTTTAGGGTCTCAGGGTTTAGGGTTTAGGGTCTAGGGTCCTTCAGAACACCCAGCCACTCCTCAACTCTTGCCTCTTGCGCCTAGGCTTAAACTCTTGAAAGCACTTTAACACCTAAACCCCAAGAACCTCCAAGCTTTGCGGCAAGACAAGTGGATTCTCTCCACATTCACCTCTCGAGCAAGCGAAGGTATACAGTCGCAAATTTAGACCAGAGGCAAGCTTTTCGAAGATCCTTTACACTCCCGATCAAGATCCCTTAATTAAGGCATGTGAATTAAGTCAGGGTAGGGATCCGACTAAACTTCAAGGTAAATTCCTCTGTTAAGGGATATTGGGGAACATCTGGGTTTCCAACCCGTAGTTCTCTGACGTAGGGTCCCTTTAAACCGGGTCCTGTTTATATGGGTGCCGCCCTCTTTCAGGGTCCGAGACAGGAGCCCAAATTTGGAGAACTTCCCATATACCTGGAGTCTCCATTGCGGCTACCTTTATTTGTGACTTCATGAGTACTTGCAAAATAAATGGTCCTTCCAGAAAATCGAAACCCTCATTTGAGAACTACCCTAAACCCATGTCCTGTCGAAGGTGCGCCCCATCCTCAGTGGAGCACTGGAGATTACAAGGACTCAGGCGGTCTGCGGCGTATGAGTCAATGCGACTTGTGGGACACTACTTGGGCCCTATAAGAATCCCCAAGCCCTAAGCCCCAACCCGTTTAGGTTTAGGGTAAAGGGCTTAATGTAGGGGCCTAAAAAACTACGGATACTATGTTAGGGGGGCTCCTTACTGTAGTTATAGTATAATGGGCCCCAAAACCCTGCTCTAATTATTAAGGCCCCTACATTGGGTTTAGGGGTTCAGGGTTTGGGTTCAGAGAATCTTTCACAACGATAAGTTTAGGATTTAGGGTTTAGGGATAAGTAGATCCTACACTTGAAGAGTCCGTGCCTGAGGGTCCATTGTAAATATTAAGGGGGCCGAGGGGGTCATGTAAGGGCCTTAAAAATTAGAATAAGGTTTTTGGGGGTCTGTTGTAGTACTATCATCCTAAAAAGGAACCCCCCCAAAAAAACATATAACTGTAGTAAGGAGCCCCCCCAAAACCATATAGTTATAATAAGGAGCCCCCGAAACCATATAATCATGATAAGGACCCCCCCCAAAAAAAAAACAAAAAAACATAGAATTATAATGAGGAACCTCCCAAACTCATATAATTATATAATGAGGAGCCCGGCCCCCCCCCCCTGTCCCCCGCCCTCCCAAACCCACGTTCTAATTAAGGCCCCCACCCGAAGGGTCCAAGTACCTAATAATCATACTCCCAAACAGTACTTGGAGGGTCATGGGACTTAGTAAGTAAGGTTATAAGTCCCCTAATTGGGGTTGTAAGTATGGTTACCTTAGCTATAACCCTACTTACTAAGTCCCATGATCCTTTAAGTAACCTGCATAACTATTATCCGAAACCCTAAACCCTAAACCCTAAACCCTAAGCCCTAAACCCTAAACCCTAAACCCTAAACCCTAAACCCTAAGTACCTGATTACTGCGTTCTTCGGACCCTTGGGGCTTTTCTTGCCACTTGGACCATGAGCCCTCCTCTACCTAAAGGATCATGGGACTTAGTAAGTAGGGTTTAGGGTTTAGGGTTTAGGGTTTAGGGTTTAGGGTTTAGGGTTTAGGGATAACTAAGGTAACCATACTTACAACCCCAATTAGGGGACTTATAACCTTACTTACTAAGTCCCATGACCCTCCAAGTACCCTGCCTGAGCTGGTGTTTAGCTACGCGGGTTTAGGGTTTAGGGCTTAGG